TGTGTGAGAGAGAGAGAGAGAGAGAGAGAGAGAGAGAGAGAGAGAGAGGGGCAGGGCCCTTTCAAAAGGGAGCATAGTGAATGTGCACAGGAGGTGCTCTTACTGGCTGCAGTTGAGGATGTATCCTATCAGAATCCCAAGGGCAGACCCATACAGACACCTGAATACCAACACAGAGAAACACAGAGAAACCCTGTCTTGAAAAGCAAAACAACAACAACAACAACAACAAAAAGTAGGTAGAGCGTTAGGCTGCACAGGAGATAAAACAGAAAGAAAATAACTAAAAATGAAAACACAGCAGTTCATTTATTGGAGAGAAAGAATGAGAAGTGGAATTGAGAGATGGAAGAGAGGAATTTTAAAAAATTGGGCAAGTCTCTAAATGGATTAGAAGGATTCCTTTATACAGGGGAAGGATTAGTTTGGGAGGACCCAATATCTCTTTCCAGAAGTGGGAAAGGAAGGCTTCAGCTGCAGGGAGATTTTCAACAGTACTTAGGGAAAGGGAAGGAAATTCACCTTCAGGAGTCCCCTTTCCTCAGAAATGTAGATGAAGATTTTATTTTTATTTTTCACTTTTATTGAGAGAGGTGGGCAGGCTAGAGTTCAGGAAGAGATTAGGGCGTGTGAAGATGGGGTTCCCTGGGGGAGGGAACAGGAGATAGTGTGAGCGCCGGTCTACAAATGGTACTGTTTTAGGCTCAGTAGTACAGTTTGGCCACATGGATGTCTCAGTTGAAACTGTGTGACCATCCTGAGAGGGGTGCAGGTATTCTCAGGAAAGACACTTGTGCCCCTCATTTAGGCTATTAAACTAATAGGATAGCGGGACCCAAGAATTAGAATTTCCTCAAGAGTCTCTTGTTGAGGAAGGAAAAGATGAATTCCCGTTGAAACCAGAGGGAACAGCAGACGACTAGTTAGTCCGCTTTGCAGGACAGATCAAGAGCTGAGGTACAGTGTTTGTGATGGGCAGAACCACACCCTGAGCGTATCTCTTGCCTTTTATTTAAACCTCGTGGTGGAGGTAGGAGGAAAGGTGTCATTGGACTGAGTTCTTTGTTCTTCTTCCTAATGTAGTCACATTAGAGGCACCAGTTGGGGACCTGTATGCAGGAACTTTAGATTCGGAGTATGCATCTATCTTAAATTGAGTGTCAGTTTGTAGGTTCAGCGATGCCCACTGCCTAGCAGCAGAGTTCACTCTTGCTGTGTTCCGGGTAATGTTCCAGGGAGGGCTGACGGGTGCAGTTCAAGCACGGATTGCTGTGGAACTGTGAGGCAAGTAAAACCATTTTAACGTTGTAAATTATATTGAGGAGCCCCGAGGGAATCGTGACGGAGGACAACTCATTACTTCCCGCCTGTTCTACCCTTTGGGGTGGACGCGCGGCATACGAACACGCGTGAAGACATGACGTCATGCGGGGGGGGAGAAGCGATCTTCGTTAGGGAACAGTCTATGAACGAAGCTTGAAGATAGTTCGTGTTTTCACTTTTGTGTTTTTTCTTGAGACAGAGTCTCGTCTAGCTCAGGCTTCTAATTCCTGATCCTGCTGATCTCTGCCTCACAAGTGCTGGGCTTGCAGACGTGTGCAGTCATACTCCACGACGTAAGATCTTCTTTTCTTTCTTTCTTTCTTTCTTTCTTTCTTTCTTTCTTTCTTTCTTTCTTTCCTTCCTTCCTTCCTTCCTTCCTTCCTTCTTTCTTTCTTTCTTTCCTTCTTTCTTTTTTTCTTTTTTTCTTGCGTCTTTCACAGTTTCGAGGAGGTAACCACACTTACAGTAGCCTCCAACCCCTAGCGCGGCCTACCGTTACCGTGGAAACGCTGAGGCCATCCGGTCCGTTCCCTAAGTCTTCCGTTGCCGCTAAAGTGCGCCCTAGGACCATTGGTTCCGCCCTAGTTCACTCTCTTGCCTGCAGGCGCTGCTGCGTCCCAAGCAATCTTGATTCCTGCCGGACACCGTCACCAGCTCCCGTTGGCCCCACCCACCCCGCAGGCCCGCCTCCTCTAGCTCCGCCCCTTCTCGGATGCCCCGCCCCCGTGAATCAGCTGATCCGGCGTTCCCCGCGGTGCAGTCCGGAGTCGCGCCTGGCGGGTGGGTGGGCCGGGAGCGCTGAGCGGCGGCTGCGTCAGGTGAGCCTGTGCGGGTCCGGGCCGGGCTTGGGTCGGAAGGGTCGGCCGAGGTGTGGGAGCGGGCGCTGCTCTGGCCTGCGGGGTCCGCGATTGTCTGTGGAGGAGCCCCGGACGCGGTGGCTCGGCCCGGGTCCCTGCTGCTGCCGCGGTCCGGCTGTGGGATTCCTCCGTGTCCCCCCCTCTTCCCGCCTCCACCCACGCTGCTTTCCGCCCGTTCGCTCTGGAGGGTTTCTTGAATGTCCGCACCCGGCGCGGGGCTGGCAAGCGGCTGAACCTGCCTGAGTGCCCGAGGTTGGTTTGCCCCGGGGTGCAGATCGCGTTGAGAAGTGGACGGGGGCTTTCGGTGGCTGGGAACAGCGTTTGTGAAAAATAAAAAGGACTTTGATATTAGTAATTGGTAGTTTGGCCAAATCCTAGGCAATGGTCCTCCAGAGGAGAGAATAAGCATCCCCAAGACATGAAAAAGAACACAGGGGCGATCTAGAGGAAATGGTCCTCACACTGATGTTGGTCCTCCAGGCAACAGGGCTGTTTTGCAGACAGGCATCTGTGGGTTTGTAGAAGCAAGCTACTATATAGGACTTCCGTGGTGACCAGAGAGGAAAAGCACACTGGTTGAATTGGGGTGGCCAAGGAAGCGCTTTCTTTTTGGTTTAGGATGGAAGCGGGGAATAACTGCTGTACCCAAATTCAGGTTGTTCGTCTATTGCTCTTACATTTGTAACCGTTCTTTAGATGTCAAGGATACACAATATGATGTAGGGTTTGTTTGTTTGTTTGTTTTCTCAGCAGGTACAGAAATGCAGCAAAGCCGTAGGCCGCACTTTTTTGTTTTTGTTTATCATATACATGTGTTCGGTAATTGAGATCAGTGAAAATTTTGCTCTTCGTTTCATATTTTTGATTAAGCGATTCGCTGTGTAGCTCAGTCTGGCCTAGAACTTGTGGCTCCCGTCCTGCCTCAGCATTCTGAGTATTGGGATTATAGGCAGTCACTGCCATACAATGAGTGAAATGTAGTATTTTAACCTTAGTAATAGAAGCACGGTGGTTAAGAGTCCTAGGCTTTGGAATATCTTGAACACATCTGTCTTTGAGCCTCTTTCCTCAGATTTCTTAGCTCTACCCTAGACTTTCTTGGTGTTAGTACTTTTACATGTATGGCTCATGCATCATTTATTGCGGTTTCCGGGCCATGGGAAATGACCAATATTTATTAACTGTATAGTTACTCATTTCTTCTAGTATATCATGAGTCAGGCTACATAGTGACCTTTTGTTTTCTAAGAGATAGGAGCAATAATTGGAGTTTATTAAGAAAAGGATATAACACATATTTAAGCACAGGCATTAAAAGAGTGGGCAAGGGCCATGGACATCTAAGAGTGGGCACAAGCTTCTCTATATAGAGTCGCCAATACATAATAGGACCCTAAAGAGGACATAGGCTTCTCTGTTGACTGTCTCTGATAGAACAACTATTCTTCATTTTAAGAAATAATTTTATGATTTTTATTTAGAGGAAAAAATGATTTCAAGTTATCCTCCAGTAACTTTGGCATTACATAAAGGTATTTTAATATGGAAAATATGCTGATATAATCTACACCTAGTCAACACTTGTTACTTCCTAATTTTTGTCTAGTATTGGTAGATTTAGAGTTCATGGTTAAATAAGAAAATTCAAAGCTGTTTTATAATCTTAAAATTTGCAAACATGGCCCAGTGAGATGACTCAGTGGGTAAAGGTACTTGTCATCAAACCTAATGGCTTTAGTTAATTCCTGAAACCCAGTGATAAAGGGACTGAGCTGACGGCCTTGAGTTGTCCTCATGAAAAATAATAAATTAAATAAATATAATAAGTTTTTTGAAAATAGTATCTATAGTAGTGTTCAACAGGTAATTTGGTGTTAAATGGAAAATAATTTAGTGTAAAATTGAAAAATAGACCCAAGGTAATTTAGGAAGAAAACTTGAATAGTATTCACAAACCACATTTATTTATTTTTGAGACAGGGTCTTGATTTGTAATTTAGGCTGGTCTAGAGTTCTTGATTCTCCTGCTTCAGCTTCTGGGCTGCTGGGATTACATATGTGTGCTACCGCACATACCCCTTCTTTCTGGGCTGTTGGGATTACATATGTGTGCTACCACACATACCCCTTCTTTCTGGGCTGCTGGGATTACACACGTGTGTGCTAACGCACACTCCCCTACTTTCTGGGCTGCTGGGATTACATATGTGTGCTACCGCACATACTCCTTCTTTCTGGACTACTGAGATTACACATGTGTGCTACCACACATACCCCTTCTTTCTGGACTACTGAGATTACACATGTGTGCTACCGCACATACCCCTTATTTCTGGGCTGTTGGGATTACATATGTGTGCTACTGCACATACCCCTTCTTTCTGGGCTGCTGGGATTACATATGTGTGCTACCACACTCCCCTACTTTCTGGGCTGCTGGGATTACACACATGTGTACTACTGCACTCCCCTACTTTCTGGACTGCTGGGATTACATATGTGTATGCTACCACACATACCCCTACGCTGGGCAGTTGGACTGTCAGAGGGTAAAGGGTATGGTGAGATACTGCTGGAGTTCTGATTTTAGTTTTTATGTGATTAGATGAGTTTAAAACAAGCGGTAACTGATCCTGAGTCTTTTTTTTTTTTTTTTTGGAGGGGGTAGCCTTATGTATCCTAGGCTCCCCTCAAACGTGCTGTACAGTTGAATTGTGGAGGCTGGCCTTGAACTCTTGGTCCTGTTTTCCTGTCTCTGGAGTGCTGGCATCACACACAGCCTACATCTGACCGTGCTGCACTCCTTAAATTATTTCTAAAGAACGCCACCAGCTCACAAGAACTCTCCGTAGTTCTTTCTTCCGGTGGAGCAGAGGATGTGCTTGAGAGGAGGATGGTTTGCTTTGTGACAGGGTCTGACCGGCTTTGCTCCTCTTGCTGTGATTAGCACCATGGTTTGGGGAGAAGAGGGTTTATATGACTCATATCACCCCATTGCTTGAGGGAAGTCGGGCAGGGCTGCATCAGGAGCCTGGTGCTGGTGGCTTCCCTAGAGGATAGGAATATCCACATCTGTGATGTGGATAGGTGAGGACCTGTGACCACAGCACTCCAGAGGTGGAAGCAAAGCCAGGAGTTCAAGGTTCAAGGCCAAGGGTCCTGGAGGAAGGTGGTTTTCTGATTACTGCCTTGCTTTTAGGCACATCCTAAGCTGCCTTCCTTATACCTCCTAGGACTGCCTAGAGCTGGCATCATTACAAAACCCAACCGGCTCAAGGTCTCAGTCTGTTACCCAGGCTAACCTGGAACTCAGTCTGTAGACCAGGCTGGCCCCACTTTCAACGGACTGGATCGTAGACAGGAACCACCATACCCTGCCCAAGAAAAGATTTGTTTGCTTGTTTTGGTTTTTTTGAGACAGGGTTTCTCTGTGTAGCCCTAGCTGTCCTTGAACTCACTCTATAGACCACACTAGCCTCGAACTCATATATTGGCCTGCCTGTGCCTCCTGAGTGTTAAAGAATCAGGTACAGGTGATGAAAGAGACACCTTAGTGAGTTTGAGGCCAGCCTGGTCTATCTGGTGAGTTGCAGGACAGCCAGAGCTACATGGTGAGACCCTGTCACAAAAAACAAGAGAGAGAGAGAAAGAAAGGAAGAAAATGACTTCCCAGCTGGGCACACAATGATGCATGTTTGCTGACTCCAGAGACTGAGTCGGAGATTTCAAGTGGGAGAACAGCCAGGGTGACATAGTTCTAGGGCAGCTTGGCCTGAGGTGAGTTGCAGAGTACAAAAACAAAAGGCTTCCTAAGAGGGGTGTGTTTAAGTGTCTTCACACCCTCTCTCCCCCTCTCTCCCTCTCTCCTTTCCTCCCTCTCTCTCTATATGTATGTTATATATAAAAATGTATGTATGTTATATATAGTATATAACACACATATATGTTGGTGGCTTTTGAAGTTACAGTATTCAAAGGGTTTAAAATATTAACTCAGGCAGACCTGTAATCTCAACCTAGAGCCCGGAGGGCCAGGAGTTCAAGGTCATCCTTGGCTACACAGCCCTTTGAGACTAGCCTGGGGCTATAAAAGACAAGCCTCCACTTCCCTATCCCACTTCCAAAAGTTAAAAAAAAAGGAAAAGATTTTTAGTTAAGTAAATACATTTCTATATTTTCGTATACTTATTCTATTTCCAGAACTTTTCTTTGGTAAATGAGATCATAAAATGGTTTATGGGGCATTGTGTAGGTTACTAGTTTGGTAATATAAAAAAGGCAAAAGAATCCTTCCTACAGGCACGAGGCTATCTAGACACATGCTTTAAACATTTTTAAAATTGTGTTTATTTATGGTGTGTGCTTGTGTTTGCCAGCAAGTTGAGCTCGGGAGACAACCTGCCAGAGTTTCTCTCCTTCCACCGCGCTAGGCAAGCAGTCTGCCGACTGAGCAGCTTTCTCGCCGTGAAGTTCCCATTTTCTAGCTCTTTGTTGTTGTTATTTTTGAGACAGGGTTTCTCTGTAGCTTTGGAGCCTGTCCTGGAACTCTGTAGACCAGGCTGGCCTCGAACTCACGTCCTTGCCTCTGCCTCCCGAGTGCTGGGATTAAAGGCGTTTGTGCCACCACCGCCCGGCTCTAGCACTTCTTAACAGTGAACTGGATTGTAAATGCTGCTCAGCCAAGGATGGATGGTCTCAGCGACTCATGTGATCTTGGAGACTGGAGGCCCATTTTTCAGTAGGATTTTGGAAGACAAGAAGTCATCCCTTTAGACATCAAGCTGCATATGCAATAAAACATTCGTAGACTGCTCTACCTAATCCCCAAATTTAACTCTGTTACTCCTTGGCCAGGGTGAGTTGAGTAAGAAGGGAGGAAGGTAGGTTGGGAGGCCTTCTCTGATGGCGTTTGAACTCTGTTGCAGTCACTGGGAGGAGGGTTGTCAGCGCTTCAGTAACTT